AGCCCCGACTCCTGGGGCACCCTCTTCTACAAGCGCAGAAGGCTAGCCGCTCTCACAACACGGAGGTACCGTGACTTTGGCATTCCCAAATGCAGATGGGAACTAGCTGCCTGCAGCTGGTGCATCAGGATAAATATTTTTTAAAAACACCATATATTTCTGTATCTATTTTGTAATGGCTTAATGACTGCTCAAAAATCCCACGCTTTGAGTCTCACTGTGCAAGCTCATTAACTTCCTGCTAAATAGGCATGACAAGCTACAGTCAGCTAGAAATACAAAAAAATGGTAGGAAAAACTTAAAAACCGTTAAGAGAACATGCATTAAACATCACAGTGGCAGCTAGCTCCAGATAGGTGATCAACAAGAAGGACTTTTATGTATATCCTGGTGCATGTACACACACATATTAAAAAAACCAACAAAAAAAAATCCCTCGGAGAGGGAGCTCTCCCGAAAAAGAAAAGTGTATTCAGGTCTGAATTTCAGGCGGCCACAAAGACTTTGTCAAGTTAATTAGATTGTCTTTTAAGTTACATCCCCTTCCAACTGTGAACATGGTCTCTGAGCGAAGGGGTTTTATCGCACTACAAAGATCCCGTTCTGCCCTTTCATTTTCTCTCATGCTGCTCACAACAGCTTCCATGGCTTGAAATATAAAGGTCCTTAGTTACACTTATTCATACTTCGCTTTTTCTCTCCGTCCAAGGATTAATCTATGCTGCTTAAAAAGAGCCCAGTGGCAAAGGGCAAAGGCAACTGCAAATATAAATTCCACAGAAAGTTTTTTCTTTTTTTTTTTCAGTCTTTTTAAGAAAGGAGATGATCTGTTTAATCTAAAATAATAGACAAATGCTGTTGAAACAGGAACACAGTGTAATTCTTTAAAATCTTTACCTTCCTACTGTAGGTCCCTTTCTTCAGCACTACTTAACTTCCTTTAAACCGTTATAGTCTTCTTTTGTTGGAAACTCTTTGAAATGTTTTTCAGAAGCAAAGAAAAGGCACAATTTTTTTTTTAAGGAAAGCTCTCATTTCTTACTGCTGCAATTGCAAACACTCGGCCTACCCGCTTTACTGTAAAAGCTAATGAAAGACCATATACCAGCGTTTCTGTGCATGCATGTTTGACGGTTTTAACTTCCTTTTCTGATAGATACTGAAAAATAAAAAGAAGATAAGAAAATGACTTGCCTTCAGTACCTTGGACTAGAAAAACACATTCCCATGCATCCCCCTACAAAACGCACTAGATGTGCACAAATGGTGTGAACATGGCACTCCTAAGTCAGGAATGAGTATATAGTCATGATCAGAGGAGGAGGGAGAGTGCTACCAGCACTGCCTTTGCAAACTTCCTGCTGCAAGATTAATGGGGTTTGATATTATTACGGTTATTTGTCCAAATGAAAACACCACTTTGGTCATCGGCAGCCAGCTGACCATAAGATGGGGCAGCCCAGATTTGTCTGAGCCACTGTACCTGTAAGTCATGTTCCCCATTCTTCTGGTGACCCTACCTGTTGGCTGTATGCCTTCTATCAGACCAGCCACAGTGGAAATTCAGCCACCAAACTGCATACCTATAGGAGCACGACGTCAGACCGTTGGTTCCTCTGGGAACTGGGTCTGTCTTTTAAGGATTTTCTGAAACATTTGTGTATTTTGGCTCACCTAAGTGCTGTTTGTCTCAATGTGGAGAGTGAGGAGAAAAATAAGGCAATGGTGCCAAATGAGAATGGAAAGTGAAATGTGGCTCACGGTTGGAGATGTTTTTCATGGTGACAGAAGAAGACTACATTTAAAAAAAAGACCAAAGCTCCAGATGATTTTTATGCTACCTTGGGTAAACAACACTACCAGCAAAGTGAACCTGTTCATGAAATCACCCATTAAAAAAACCCCAAATAAACAAAAAAACAAACAAATGGACAAAAAAAAAAAAAAAAAAGATGTAGAAGTTCTTTCACGTAACATTTTGGAAGGCATATTTTTGATATTGCTTTGTTTGTAATCTGGTTACCAAAGTCAGCAATGGTTACAGTGCTTCCTTAGTTTTTGCAGTAACACAACCTAGAACTCTTGCTATATGCAATAATATGAACCGTAAATGTAATTTATTTAATTTTAAGGATCAATATATAAGGCAGTTCCTTCCAACGATTGATCGTCTAATATGATTAAATGTAAAGCTTAACAAAGTACCACATTCCCATTATCTGATTCACAAAGACAGATTTGGTTTAAAAATATGCCTGAAACATATTACAGATAATATCCCAGATGATTATTATGTAAACATTGTTATTACAATGAAATTAATTTGATATGAGCTTCATTTCACATTTTCAACGTCAACGTTGTAACACAGAGGCCTATTTAATCTGTCCAGTATTTGTACAGGGTTTTAAATGAAGCATACAAAATCTACAATGTTCTACCTTCTTGTCATGAGGATCCATCTGTTTCCAATTATTGGCCTTTAACTGATGAAGTTCATCAAATTTCATACTAATATTTTCTATGGACAACTGCAGCATATCCCAAAACCCTGCTAAATCCTGGGAGGTCGGTCGTGGATGTGCATTAGGATTCTGTGCAACAGAAGAAAAAAACACGTTGGCTTTAGTACCTCTTAATGTGAAGCATTTGTGCAAATGGTTACGAATCTTGCTAGCAAAGCAGTTTCAGCAGATCCAAGTGACTGTTGAGACACAGAGACAGAAGCAAAGCAGAGCACTACTTACTGGGGGGTGGGGGGGAGTTTTGCGAGGAGTCTGGCTTGGTGTTGAGCTGCGGTGCCTCCCCAAGCCCCCGCTCACCGGAGGCAGCAGTTACCTGCCGTGGACCAGAGGGCAAGGTCCCCTGTGACAAGATCTGCCTAGGGATGTTCCTGGGCACAACCAGTGGTATCCTAACCACACTGAAATTAATTGCCAGCGTCCTCTGCACTTTCATGAGGAAGGATTCCCTGCCATGTTTACACTTGTAAAAAGATTGATACCTGTGCAAACACACATTTAGTGCATCTGCAAATAGTGACATACCAATGCATGAACACTTTTTCCACACCCTGAGAACCTAAGGTCTACAAAACCACACCATTTCAAGTAAAATTGCCTCTTATTATTATTACCTCAGGCCAATTTTTTAATATATTTTTTTACAAGAATAACCTCTGCAGGGTGAAAAGCTCAGAACAGAACATGCAGAAGCAGAGCGATCCCATATTTACATAAGCACTTTTGGGAAGAGTGAGACTGGGACACATGTGGAGAGCGTTGCTTTGTGTGTGCAAACTCCGTCCAGTTCATCAGCCTGAGAGTACTGCATAGAAGAGCACACCTGGATGGTTAGCATCTCTAGCATGGCATGGGCCAGAGGCTGGTGACCTGAGAGGTCCTGTTCTGTCTTGTGTCCCTTCAGTGCAACCCAGCTCTGAACATTTTCTGCATGCAGTGGACATACATGAAATGGTCCCTGCTGTGTGGCAACGTTCGTATGAGGGAAAGCTTTTTACAGGATATGTATGTATGTGCTGGTACCCAGTAGAAACTCTTCAAATCAAATGAGGTGTTGTATATGCTCACTTCAAGCATGCTTTTTTGCGAATGCTGAGCAATCCCTACCCCAATCTGAGTCAGCAAGGTTTCATCGGTACTATAGCCTGATATAATATTAGCCTGATATAATTGATATATTTTTATAAATAAATAAATATTAGAATCTTGCATGTTGTTTTACATGGCTCAAGTTTTACTCTGTGCTTAAGTTTTCTCCCTCACCAAAGGCATAAAACCAAAAGAGTCAGTTATGAAATTTCTTATGAAATTTCTAATTGTGCTTGTCACGGCAACACTGACAAATTATTTTGATAAGATTATTACGCCACCAAAGGAGCAATTATTGAAAACAATATATATTTAGATTCATAAGGAGACCAGAGATTATAATTGGATTCCTAGTTTTTCAGTGCTTGACAATATCAGGTTGCTCAGTTGTAGGCTTTTATTTACAAAGATGCACAATCAGAATGCTTTTTGCATTTTTATATTAAGAATTAAGAGGCTTATTCAGACAGAGCCAATTTCTGTTGCATTTGTCCACTTCAGCAGATTTTAGTTTGGGGCTTGATTTCCAGAGGTGCATTAACTGAAGTGGAAGATGGCAACCCCACTGTAGTTAGTATCACAGGGTTTGCCTTCCCTTCCTTATTCTATACTGACACAGCATCATGCTCTTTGCTATCAGGGCTTCTAGCAATTTATGGCAAAATTGGGAATGAAATGCATTTTATCTACTATGCAAGGATGGATTGTTCATTAAAAAGTTTGTAAATTTTTATAAGTGCTGGCATTTTTGAAAATACTGCTTTAGATGCATGGTATGAAATGTATTTTTATTTATCAACAGGAATATAATTCTGATTCTACTACTACTAACAGCTATTATTATTAGCAAATAATAGCATATACCAATAGCATATACCAATTACATACAGTAATAATAATGATAACATACTGGCTCTTTTCCTCTTTGCCCTTTTAGCACTCTGCAAAATTATTTTTCTCTCTTTCACTATTGGGGTTGTGGAACATGAAGCACCGAATTCCAGTGTTTGATTTCCTGGTATTTCTGTTTTGTTTAATACAGGTGGCATTGGGATTACATGGGAAAGCCCTATTCATGAGACTTCTGGACCACCCTGAAAGACCTTCAGGTCTTTTACCCAAACATCTCTGAGCACATGCAAACTGAACTCCAAGGTCAAGGGACAGATCCTTGCCCCTCTGAAGTCAGTAGCAGAGCCTGAGTGAAATTTCACCTAAAGCTTTTTGCCTGTTTTTATTTTAAGGCTCTCAAGCTATTGTGAAACTCATGCTGACTCCGACAAGTTTTATAGAGTTACTCCCAAATTCATATCAAGGTCTGTACTGGAACAACTACCATGTTAGTCAGAAAATCTGTCTAGTTTAGGTACGACTATTCACAGGGTTAGTAAAAGGCACACAACAGTGTCCAGCAGAAAGGTTACATACCAGGTTTTCTTCACAAAGTTCTCTGAACTGGTAAAATTTCTGGGCCATGAGAAGCTGGGCACTGCCCACTGCAGTTCGAATTTTCCCTAGAACTGAGAGAAAAAGAAATGTAAGTCACAGTGCTTTCTTTGCTGTGGGCAACTAAAGGCATACACAAAGAAAGGAGAAAGCTGTGCAGGTAGTCAACTCTGGCTTTCAAAAAGCATGTACTCTCTCAGTTGCAATTAGAGAGAAACTGATAAATCTAAGGCCAGATCTGTACAAGGCAAAAATGCTAATCTGTTCCTGCATTTTACTCTCATTCCCACAGTGAGACCAGTTGTAACCAGCAAAGAGCACTTCCATGGCAGTATAAACGGGGCTAATCAAAAAAGCTTTTGCAACCTATATAGGAAGCTCACCAGAACTTAAACCTCTCGTCACCACTGTGACCCAGGCTCAGGCTTTGAATACCAACCCAGCTCCCTGTGTAAGGACATGCGGCTTTCAAACCCTGAGATGCCATCTACACCGTTTGGAAAACACTACATCTACCAGCACTTCTGCCATCTCACTTAGCAGCTTGGCACCTTGTTTTCAATGTCTTTTTCTGAGCCCCAGAAAGGGAACGGTGATTTTAATGCACACCAATGAATCTCATTCGGACGCTGTGAGTATTTTCCATGACCACAATCTGAAGAGGCAGAAGCCTCTTCGAACCCAGATGCCCAGGCATACTTCAGGGAGCGATCACACCCTGGCCTCTCCTCCTTTGCTGGTGACCTGGAGGGAGGTGTCAAAGAGTCCTAGCTCAGCTCCTGCACTGTCTGGAGACTTCTTTGTACTGACAGCTGGGTACTTATGGTCTCTTTATACAGATTGAGTGCTGTGAAGGGCTGCAGTGAACCAGAAGACAGTCCATAGTAAATGCCTCTGAAGAAAACAGGAGCTCATACGGTTTTGGTTGCATTCAGCCTCACTGAAACCGTGCGGTTTTACTGCTGCTAGGGGTAGTTGGAATTACGCTAACGTAACAGAGGCATATGCTGGTGCATTCAGAGACCTGCATTTCCCTGGGGCTTTACTGAGTTCTGGTCGAGGAGCGTGTGTGTATGCACACATGTGTGTGTATGTGAAAAAAAGAAGCAAGAATGCAGAAACAGAGCAGAAAGATAGACAGGGCCTCAGCTATCAGTAGGACACTGAATCCAGAAAAGAGAGCGCAGTTTTGGGGACTGCTGATTGAAAGAAAAATGATGCTGTGAGCAAGAAAGTAGCTACTGGTTTGTTTGAGACTTGCAGTGCTCTAGAAAAAAACCACCAAGAACTACGCTTTAGGCACTGTCTTTAAATAAACAGGCTGGCATCACAGATGATGTATCTGGCTCCACCACTAATTTTCCCCCTCAGCTGAAGAAACTTATTATTCCCCAATTCTTTGGTTAAACATTTATTTTAAAATTAACTTCATTTAATAAAAACAATATATACTACTTAATTAATGAAAAACATGAATGGCAGCCACTGTGTGAAAATTTTCACTGTCATTGCTACTCATAGATATTTGCATTATCCCAGCCCTCATATAAACAAAGCAACTTCTTCATGACAAATTTAGTCTGGATACATGAGGCAGGTGAGGGAGGAACAGGAAAAACAGAGATGAAGTGGCCTGCTCAAGGTGAGTGAGAGCCTAGATGAGATACTAGTCCTAAGCTGCCATCCTCTGTACCATCCCTTGGGCATCGTCACTTTTCGTGTAAAACCTAACAGAGCATTAGCAGGCCTCCACTGGGAAAATACTGCTAAGTATTTTGACTTACCACAACGAAAAAAAAAATGAACAGATAAATAAATAAATACAACTTTGCTATAACCCCTCCTGACAACATTTTTAGGGTCTCACGGTTCTGTGACCAGCTGCAGTGCACGTCAGCAACTTGCAACCAGAATGCCACCATGCAGTGCTTGGTAAGAGAAAGGCCCCTCCGAGGGATTCACTTGCATAGCCACATGCTAAGCAAACACTCATGATAAACTGAGACCAGACACATAGTAGTATGAAATCTGTGTTCTGCTCCTTCAAGGCAAATGGCTTGTCCTTCAGCATCCTTAAAGCTCACTCCATAAGGCTGCTGAAGGAGAAGTGGGATGCGGAGTTAATTTATACTTTAGATATACAAAGGAAAGAGGAAAAAAAAGGAGGGTGAAGATTTTCTGAAACTATAGGAGAGAGCACTGTGAACACACACAGAGCTCAGACTTTCATTTTGTTCCCAGAACTGAACTCAGCACTGCCAGGAAATAGCCGTGAGCTGGAAGATTCACTAAGCAGAATATTTTCAGCATATTGCGCAGGGAGTTTTGCACACAACTCTCATTATTGTTAGCAAGGCTTGCGTGTCTAATTCTATGCGCACAGTGCTGAAAATGGACCCCTTGGTGTGTCTAGTCATTTATGCAACCCAATATGCAAACCACTCAACTGAAAGGACTCTTCAATAGTAGGAGGAGCTACTCCGGGAGCTTTCATGTGGTTCCCATTGTTATGAAAACTCTTCCCACTGAGTATATTTGGGAACAGCTGCCTCATCTGGAGCTCGGCCACTCTGACGCTTCCCAAGACTTCAGAAGAGCAGAAAAAACGGCCTCTCGTTCTCCAGATGAAAAAAGACAAGGCGGGCTCTTCCTGGAAACCTGCACCACCCGAGTTGGAAATCACGTCCCAAGCATGAAGAAATGTAAATACACCTTGTTGGTGATGGATGGGAATGAGCCCCTTTCTTTGCAGGAAGAAGAGCTTAATATTCAGAGATCTCAGCAGAGGGAAAAGGAAGTCCTTGTCCTTGGCTGCCTAGCGACTGGCTATTTGCCTAAAAACCATCGTCCCAGCTGACTGTGGGATGCATGCTGATGCTGTTCTCTATTGTTGCCACTTCTGCTGTAGCCACGGCTGTATCTAGTCAAGTGTCACTGATTCCTTGCCCCTCAAAAGCAAGCGGTCTGTTAATGTGCAACCAGTCAACAACCAACTGTGTCAAGGAAGTTAGGGGAAAAAAAAAAAAAGACAAAGCATGCAAAAGACTGAAAGGAATCTCTCCAGAAGGCACAAAGCCTTATCAATAGTTTTGTTTCCAAATGCGTGTTGCTTTTAGTGTTTCAAGGCAGAGTGCTCGTTTTGCTTACTCAGTCAAAACCTCCAGTGGCAAAGAGAAAGGCCAAGGTGCAGTCAAAAAAACCCAAAAAGTAAAAATAGACCAATACTTTCTGAGGAGAAAATCCTGCAAGATTTGAAGCCAAATACCAAGAAAATAAGTGGAATTCCAAAGATAATGCTAAAAATACACAAGAAAAGAAATAGAGAAATCTTTAACAGCAAAGAAGATGGGGTAGAGGAGAAAAACATATAGACATTCAAATCAATGTGTTCAGCTAATAGGATACAAACAAAATGTATAAAACCAAGCAACAACAAAAAATACTGACCCATCAAGATGCAATCAGAATGGATTTAAACACCTATATAATGTTATTCATGTCTGCTTTCTTTTCCATACAGGGTAATACAGCACACTCAGCACTGTTGGATCTGAATGCCTTCCAGTAATGCATTAAGCAACATTATTAACATCCATCATATGCTTTTCTGTCACCTCTTCCCCAGGGGAAGAAGTGTGTGTACTGCAGTGTTTTGTTTTTATATTTTGAATCTTTCCTCCCCCTCTACTACACCGCACTCTCCCTTCCCCCCACTTTGACCTCTCTTTCTTGTCAATCCAGTTCTCTCCTGTGACAACTTTTAAGAAATAGTTATGTCTATTCTGGAATAACTGCTTCAGTATACCTATTTTGATATAATTCAGCTATCGTGGAGTGCCTCCTTACTATTATTGTTCTTGACTAGGGGTCGCAGAATGTTATTCTAGGATAGACACATGCCAGTGAATTTCTTATGTCTCTAACCCCCCAACCTGTTTTCCTTTTAAAATGTTTTTAAATATAGACTTAGACTATGTGCTGTTCAAGCAATAAGTTCTTGACTCTCTCAGTTCTACGAACTGCATGGGACCTACTTTGGGATTGTAGAGAACTACGTATCTTCCCCCTCCATGTTGTCATGAGAAAAGAAATGAAACAACAAAAAAAGAATTGCAAACACAAGCAAAAAAATTGTGATATTGTCATCTGCTCTACCTTTGAAGGAGTCTGGGTGTGTAACAAGGATAACAAAATATAAGAAAATAACAACAAAAACCACCTGAAGTGATGTGAAAAGTCATCACATAGAAGCCACCGGAGTTTTGGAGTTTCGAGGAGCAGCAGCATTATTTGGCCTTGAAATACCAACTGTTCTCTTTGCATTTCAACTTTGAAGGGGTCCCAGGGTCTAACAAGTGACAAAGGAGGCATTTTAGGACTGTGACTATCAAATGCCCTTAATGTGAAAACACCTGGTTGGTAGGCAACCCAAGCTAGGGAACAGAAAACCAGAGACTTGTGCATTGCCCCAGGAGCAAGTGGCAGGAACAACAGCCGAAATTACAGGGACACAGCCTGGTTTGCATTGCAGATGTTGGCTGGGCACTGTGCATATGAAGCAATCTTGCCATAGAGCTGTCACAATCCATTTCCAAGCCAGGATGGACCAGCATTTTAGCCTATTCTTGTTGACAGACCTACATTTAAAGAACACCAAGCATGACAAAAGCCAGGAAATTCAAAGTTAAAGCTACTGCTCCAGTCTTAAGCTTGGCTATTAAGGAGAAAACAGCCAAATGGAGCAAGCTATGGAAAGGACAGTCCTTGCTTTATTTACTTATAGGAATGATCTAATTGAAATTAATGGGTCTATCTGCATGAGCAAATGCTGTTCACTGGGAGTAAAGCAGTTTCCATGTGTTCTCTGACTTGCTTGACTTTTATTATCACACTTCATGTTTTTTCCCTAATTATACTGTTTTGTTGTTTGTGGATTTATTTGGACATTGGCAGCGCTTCCAGTTTGTATCTGGCTTTCCTTGGAGAAACCGTCACAGATGGAGAAGTCCCTTCTGGGGAGAAAAGAAAACCAGAACAAGAAAAGTACTAGTCAGGCATGTGACCAGAGGCATGTAGCCAGGGGGATTCCAGCAGGACTCGGCCACATGTCAGGCTGGTGACTGTCCCTCTGCAGCCCACAGTGGGACGGGGCTACCTCACACCTCCAATCAGCAGGGATGAGGACAGCTTGGGGAAGCCCTGCAGAGGACTTGGAAAATGGTTTTCCTTGGTTGTGGCTAAGAGTTAACTCAAGGGTTTCCTTTTCTTTTGCCATGCACAACTATTGCAAAAATAATATATTTTCCTTAACTTTCTTCTCTTGTGTCTAGCCTTCACTCTTTTAAGTTTTCCTTTGAAACAATCAAAACAATAGAAGAAAGCAGAAAGTGTGCAAACATTGCATAATTTGCCAGAACCATCTGAATTTGCAGACACTCTGGTCCTAAGCAGCGAGGTTACTGCAGATTTGAGGTCAACCTTTGTTCACAGACTAGCCCAGAGGAGTATAACATACACACAAGACAGTTATAATGACATGTCTTGTCAGAGCCTTGGTTTTCTGTTTGAGTCTGTACTTGATTGGCCTGACTTGTCTTGCCACTAAACCCACATTACACCTGACTTGTGGTGAATGAGGCCCACAGTTTGCTTCCAATTGTTATCTTCACATCGAAGCCACATTACAACCGCGTGTGAAACAGAAACATTTCTAAAGGGGGGCAAAATGAAGCCCTCCAGTTCTTCCAGAAAAGTTAACGCTCCAAGTGAAATAAAAACAGCTAAAAATCCAGGGAAAGCCAGGCCGAGGTGGTAGGTGTATGTTCCTGTGCCCACCACTGCTGTGAAAAGAAGAGGCCAGAGGCTGCTTGCTAACAGCGCTGCATGGGGAGCCAGGCCTGTTGCTGCTAATTCTGTGTTACTCCAGAGGCCTGAGCCACCAAAGTCACCAAAATTAGCGGCAAGGCTCTGACTGTGTGAAATCTTGCAAGGGAGAGGTAGGAGGAGAGAGCAGAGGGCTGAGGAGAAAATAAAAACCAAAAAAGGTAAACAACCGAGTTCACTTGAGGCCTGATCCAAAGAGTCAATCAATTATCACATGGTGTTCAGCCTCATATCTCTAACATATATTTTTATGAGAGCCTTAGAGCTTGTAGTCAACGTTGCTGTAACAGCAAAATAGAGGGAAACCATATCAAGTATCCTAGCTTAAAAGTGTGACTGGTATTCATCTGCCTGTTACACACACCATGGCTTTATCAGAAAATTATTTCAGATACAACCAGAATATACTATACAATAAATAATTAATGGCAGAAGGGGAGCCACATTTCTCTCTACATTGGCATTTCATCATGCAGCCACTGAACCACAGCTTGTTTTTATAAACAGCAGCAGACTCCATTTCCCAGCTAGAAACATTTAATCCCATCTGGTAGATTCATTCCCAGCTAGATAATACCCAACGTATCTATGTAACATACAAGCTACTGTCAAACAGCAGCGAGCCGTCTCCCTGAGACAGCTGTTTCACACAAGGGCGGCATTGTCTGGGGTAAGCGCAGATCATTTTACGCGGAGAGCCGGGGGGATGAGCCCTCTGTCAGCTGCCATGGCATTGAGAAAACCTCGCTCATCACATCGTTCTCGTTATTTTATTATCTGGCCAAACACACGCTGGGGATGTCAGGTTGAAAACAAAAGATGCGTTCCCTGCTCTGGTTATATTTCATTAGGGAAACCAAAGCGAACACACCTCTGCTCCTTTTTTCCCTCTCTTCAAAGTTCATAGACATATGAAAAAGACGCATTTTGGAGCAGGGTTTGTAACAGCCAGGCTTTTGCTTCTGGTGGTGCTGAGCAAGCAACGTGGCCGTGACCATATGCTTTTCCTTGGCACCAGGTAGAGCAGGGTGTGCTGAGCCACAGCAGAAAGCCCCGCGCAGCCTCCACAGGAGGCAGCTGCCACTTGCCGGAGTGGCCCACGGCATCACACTGAAATAAGTACCTCACCAATGACCACAAAACATGGGCAACCCCTTTCCTCCTCCCATTTCCAGTGATAATGAGAAATGCCAGTCAGAAAAATGAAGAGGAGGAATAATCCACTGGATACGTGCCATGTGCGTTTTAAGGAGGTGTTGGGAATAGCCAGCCTAACCACTCCTTTATCTTCCCCATAACTGATTTCTCCCACTGATTGCTCAAAGACGAGCCCTTTAAAACTATCATATATCAAAGTCACCAAGACACTGAGGGAAAAGTCTGTACACAGATATATTTGTTCTCCATGTATCAGCCTTGTAAAATTCACTTCATGTTATTTTCCCAATGTGAATAACTACTTTGGTGTACAAATAAAATATTTGTAGGTTTTTTCCATTATTATCAGTTCATAGAATTACAGAATCACAGAATGGCTTGGGTTGGAAGGAACCTCTAAAGATCATCTAGCCCAACTCCCCTGCCATGGGCAGGGACATCTTCCACCAGATCAAGTTGCTCAAAGCGCTGTCCAACCTGACCTTGAACACTTCAGTGATGGGGCATCCATAAGTTCTCTGCACAATCTCTTCCAGGGTCTCACCACCCTCATTGCAGAAAATTTCTTCCTTACGTCCAATCTAAGTTGTTGTGGTAAAGAGAAGGCAAGTGGGTTTTGTGGCTTGGACTTATAAATGTCGTGTATTTCCTATTTGTTATGTGCTCACACTTGTTTTTCAGTCTAAAATATTTTAGTTCATGGTGTTTATTTCTTGCATACTAACAACAGAAAACCTTTGTATTCTGATACGTGTGTGAAGAGATTTCTGAAGGGATCGATGATGTAAATTAAAAATGAGGTTTGAATACTCTAAAACTTGGGGAATCTGGATCTGCTTTGAAGGCTACTCCTGTATTTTTGACTCGGAAGAAATCGTTAACCTATTATATCACAGAAATTTTGTAGAAATAGAAAATCTTAACATACCTTAATGATAAGGTTATCTTGTACTTTCCATTAGAAGTAAATTTCCAGTTGCTTACAATAGTGTCTAACTTTAACTATCTAGATGAAACTTCTCTATGGTTATTTCTTTTGTAGGGTTGAATGGAATGTTCCAGCAGAAAGAGCTTATCCGTTTATAAGAACTTAAAAAAATATATTTTTTGCTAGTGTTAGTTCCTTTCCTTCCAGAAATTAAAACCTTCACATCTCAACAGAATACTAGCACCTCCCCTCTTGACAGGAAGGGTTAGAAATTTGGAAGAAGCGGTCTTGGAGCTGAAGTAGTAGCCCTTGCTTTGGCAGGTGCTAATTTGGAGGTCGGAAAAGTGTTATTTACTATACCCAGGAAAATACACTTAGGTGTGCCTCAATTATACCATATAGAAGTCTCTATATGCAGCTGCCTTTACCTATGTCAAAAGTTGACGTCTATCAATAGTGCTGCTCCCTGTAATGGAAGTATAAATGGAAAAAACTTCCATTTTTACTGGGAGAAAAAAATCTGGACAGGGAGGCACACGTTCAGCTCTTCTTCCCTAATTAGAGTGAATTGATAAGATGTGAGCTACCCAACCCTTCTTACTAATGAAGGCTTACTAGACATCCCCATTGCCTTACAGGTATGGTAATACTTCTGGCAGCAGTGACACCTGAGGTGTAGTTTGCATGTGTGTGTGTTTTATCAGAGAATATGGAGGGCTTGTTTTTATGATTACCAAAGAGGAATGAGAACTGCAAGGGAGATGAGTGGAGACCAGACAGGGGAAGATAAGAAGAACAACTTAAAAGCACAACTGAAATCTCTTTCAGTTGGGAGAAGTATCTGAAGACTCTGATGCCAATCACCATCTAAAAAGGTAGCTAAAATATGAATTTAATGAAAAGGAACTAGAATCTGGTCAATTATATTCTAAAGTTATGAGAAGTGAGTGATTCAAACAGAAGAGTTAAGAAACATTAATACTACAAGATCCCTAACCCCGATCTCCTAATTATCCATTGAACTATGCAATCCCAAAAATACCTCTGGAGTTTCAGAAGTGCTGAGCATTTGCATTCCCCATCAACTTTAATAAGGATTATTATATGCATGCATACAGTCCTTTTGAAAATCACAACCATAGCTTCTTTGGCTAAGCAAGAAAGGGCATGATACAGAATTCACTGGAATAAATTTGACCTATATTGAATACTTTTTTGTAGTTGAAATATTATTGTACGCAGTTACTTACTGTCCTCTGGTAAGTTGTTTTCCCGTTCTTCTCTTTCCATCTGTTGGCACCAGCCCTCCATACGATCTCTCTCTGCCTGAAGTAGCTTCAGAAACCAGTGGCCATCTCGTGGGCACACTGACCTTTGAACAGCTTCCAGAGGATCTTCGGTGATAGAGTCAATCCAGGGGTCAGGAGGAGGTAAAATGGATGGATCAAAATCTGTTTCAAAGTCATCATCCACTGCACATGCATGGTAATGGTTTCCTGACCCTTGTATGCTAACAGTAGAGGTGCTTGCATCTCGAGAAAATTGTCTTGATATTTGTCCAGAACATGTATTGTCCTCTTGAGGGTTGATTATTTCAAAGTTCTCATGGAAATCCAGGTCTGCTTGCACAGCTGTTGTTACACTATTAGATCGTGTAAACCTGCGAAAGCTTTGGAGAGCACAAACATAAAATGTTTAGAAAGCTTTTTCTAGGTAACTCAATAAGAAAGGACTTATTAAGATTCTGCCACTCCTCCTAAGACTGGCAGTCACGGTTCTCAGTGCTACACTCAGGTGTTTTTGCTTGAAATGATCAGCATAAACTTCTTTTCTCATTGCAAGCCAACAAACAAACATCTTTCTTTTTTTTCCATGCAAGCTCACGGTTTATTGAGGCAAGCACCCTTAATTGTGTGGTTTAACAAAGCTAGAGGCTAGCCCAAGAGACAGCTCATAGTGTCAGTAGCTCAGGATTTTAGGTTATCAATTAATGAAAAATTTAAAGGGCCCAATTTCAAGAAGTGTTTTATCTTTCAACTTTTAAAACTCACACCCCTCTGAAGTTGTACACCCAAACTCATGAGCCACATTTAAAAATCATACATGTGAGATTAACAAGATAGTAATACCAAGGAGTCAGCTATCTGCATAACGTTTTACATTCCATTTATAAAGAACATAAACCCAGATAAGTATTTTGTATTGCTTCTTCATAATTACTCTTCATAATTATGTACCTGCTAGCTTACTACTTCTGCATATACCACTGTCATCTCTCACAATTTTAGCACCCATTCCCACCGTTAAGAGTTTGTTTTTCACATCAAACTCTTAGTTTCTAAATGGTCTGCTCTTTTTCACCAGTGCTAGTGTTCTCAGTCGCTATGTGACCCTCATCGTGACGGCTGCTACCCTCTAGGTAGCTTCCTTTCACCTTCCGTAGTCTCCCTGTGTTGGAGCCTCTGAGGGCAGAGCAAACTCTGAGAGTAAAGGCAAAAGCAGGGGAGAGACAAGGTTTGAGACTTTAGGTTTGGGTGTGTTTTCTTTACATGAACTGCACCCCAAATTGTGCAGTCCAAGGCCTCTGAGGTAAAGAGACTGATGGAGAAGGAACAGAGGAAAGTGCAAGGAGTAAGAGATGCTGTTGTATGACAAGCAGTAGATTGTGGAGGGAATGAGTGGAAAATCTGCAGACAAATAAATACAGAGAGTTGGGGTAACTCCAGGAACTGATGCACCGAGGAACACAAGAAAACAAGCGAAGTAGGCATCTGTCTTGGCCCATGATGAAAGGAGATAAAGAAGGTAGAAACATGAAGTAATTAATGTAGATGTTACTTAAATTAGTAATACTTAGGCTTCAGAATTAACATAGCTTTGAACAGAATAGGGACAGATTCCCACTCCTTCTTCTTACTAATCCAGGATGCCTGTGCACTCATGCAGCTGGTACCTCACTTCCAATTTGTTTACAATCTCACATTTACTCTTGAAACCAGTGTTAGGACTCATTTATCTGTGATATTTTGCCTGTTTTGCCCTTATCAGTTCTGTTTTTAGTTTGAACTCAAACAGCAATGAAAATGCTGAGTAAACAGTGGAGCTGGATGCTGGGCACCATTTCACTGCCGTTCATTGATATTCCACCTTCCACTGAAAAGCAATAGCTGATTATATAAGTCCAACTGACAGCAAAACTTTGTCCCGTGAATTTAGTCCGCAGTTGGGCACTGAACAGATGGAAGGATGCTGAGGGAGAATTTCATGTCCTATATACCTGATGCATCCAGATACCTCAGGAGGAGGGCAGCAGACTTTAGGGAGGACTGTATCAAGTCCTGCTGATAGAGGAAATTAGTGACTCTTGATCTCAGGCTTTGAGAGGAGTGGAGCAAAGCAAAACAGGAGTTGAGAAGGGTTCCCCAGCTGAAAAAAAAAAAAAGCCCAATTCCTATGCAGAAGAAAGCTCAAATTAACTTCTCAGCCACACCAATCCCTAGAAAATTTTAATAATAGATTGTGTATATATTTCTTTTGTAATGGCCTAGAATACAAACATTATAATGTAGTGCCTGCTGTTTGCAATTCTTTTGAAAGCTAAACAATGCAAAAGTAATGGTTATGCCACTGTAGCTTTACATGATATGCACCAGCAAACTGAAAAATATGAAGCAAGCAGAACTTTTCAGCTCAGTAGTATTTATCCTTTGACAAGCAGAGCAAAGCATTTTTCTACGGACTGATATAGCAGAAAAAGTTCAAAAGGGAGGACAAGGATCATTGGGGGTATGGTATAGCTTCCATAGGAGGAAAGGCATTTCTTGGTTTAGAAAACAGATGGCTGAGGAGGGATATGAGACCTATGAAGTCCCAACTAGGTGATGTTTCATTTCTTAGAGTGCAAGAACTGTGGGAAGGAAGGAAGCCAGTTGCAAGGCTTAGAGATCTAAAGATTTACATCTAGTGAAAGGAAGTATTTATTCACACAATGTGTAATTAAATTGACACAGGATCCTGGGAAAACCAAAGGTAAAAATAGGTTCAGAGGACCTGATCAAATTCACAGGAGATAGGTCCAGGAAGAGCTATTACACAGATGTTGTATCTGGCCTAGGAAGTCCCTGAACAACAGACTGCTAAATTGGGAAGGTCTACTGGGAGAAGTAGTGCTTTATGCACACACCCTTCATACTTTTCCTTTACACACACTCATTTATACTTTTCCTTAGTATCTCCTACTGGCCCCTGGCAGAGAAAAGCTGTTAGACTGTTACTAGTAGCTAGAAAGACTTTAGCTTTAGGCTCACATTACAACAAAAATATTTTTTGTACAATTTATGCTACTTTTAAAAAAAATGCTTTAATTTGGCCACCAAACTGACAAATCCCATATCTGCACTGAAGTGCATGCATGGATATACACACATACACACACAAGTGTGCCCACACACGCACATGCTCACAAAAGATTTCTTTTCAGTCATTTAGTTAGGGTTCACTGACAGACAAAGCATTAGTACATGGTGTACTCTTCCACACCTTACACAGTACTGGAGAGAAAAGCAAATGCCTTAATCCAGGCTTGTTCTTGTCTGTGCCCCTCCCTCCATATCACAGCTGCCTTTTGCTTCAGCGTGGAGAAGAGAAGGCTCCAAGGAGACCTAATAGCAGTCTACCAGTACCCAAAGGGAGCCTACAGGAGACATGGGGAGGCACTCTTTATCAGGGAGTGTAGTGAAAAGAAGGGGTAACGGTTGTAAGCTGAAAGAGGGTGGATTTAGACTAGACATTAGGAAGAAATTTTTCACTGTGAGGGTGTTGAGACACTTGAACAAGTTGCCCAGGGAAGTTGTGGATGCCCCATCCCTGGAGGTGTTCAAGGCCAAGCTGGATGAGGCTTTGAGCAACCTGCTCTAGTGGAGGGTGTCCCTGCCCATGGCAGGGGGGTTGGAAATAGATGATCTTTAAAGTCCTCTCCAACACAAAACATTCTATGATTCTATGACTCCCCCAGTGCCCTAGACTCTGACATCCTTCTGTTTCAGATGATCATTTATCCCTGGCTTTTCGGTGTACACCAAATCCCAAATGTGAAAACATGAAGGTCTACTTGCCAAGAGGATGTATTGCCGGAGGCGCTACATTTCAGAGCTTTCAGGTGTGTAGTCTTACTAGGTTTAATATGAGCTAGTACCACCAAAACCAGACTGTTCAACAAATAAAACAGAATGACCTACTTTTTTTTGCCTTTGTTTTACCTTTATAATAGATTACTATAGACTTGCTTGACAGATTCTTGGCACTGGATTGTTCAACCTACATGTCTTCAAAAGGAAAACAACTTGGCAATAGAATATTATAGTATCAGTTAAAATTTAAAAAAATACTCCCAAGGAAATGTGTGTTGAATGAAATGGAAAGAGAGGAAGGCACCCACTATCTGCCTGCCTCCAGCACATCTATATAAACTGCCTAATAGATGGTAATTTTAGTCTCTGACATAGCTTCCTCACTCACTTCCAGGATGTTTTACTCTTAAAAAATAACATTTGTGTCCCATGTGAGCCTTTTTTGTTTTGTTCTCAGTTGAAACTCCATACCACAGGAGAGCTGCTGAAGTTAATGCCTAAGTTTTCACTGTTACACAGTTACACATGCAAAACATTCACAGGTCTACCTAAAAAAAAAAAAAAAGTTTTCATATATTGCTGGTAATTATTAAAACCAGATTTGCTTCTTCCTCTGCTTTCAGGCTTGGCCCTTTTGTAATCAGTTGTGCCCTGCAGGCACAAGGTGTAATAATTACAGCTTCAGAGAACTGCAGCAGATATCTGGCCTAAGGTGCAGAAAGCCATGAAACCTCAGACTGGATAAACCAGTATGGAGAACAACAGCACGATGTGTTCTGAAGAGCAACAAGAGACTCAGTTGTTAGCATTCGACTCTCTGCTTCTAAGTCTTCTTTTGCTTTCTTTTGAAAAACATGTTTACATTTCCACTCAGAGAACTTCTTTCTTTCCTAATCTCCCCCCCCGCCCCCCCCAACCCCAAACCCAGAAAATATCTAGGTTTCAAACATGCCTCACTTCATCCATTGGCTGTACTCTTTCTCAGCTGTGGGCAAGGTTGCAGCTGCTGTCAGCAGAATGAAACAAACTGCATAAGGACTTAGCAGATGCAGTACCATGTCTTCTAATGGCAGGATCTTCAGCAATACATCTTCAAGCTACACAATCCTGTGTGCTGTGCTCTATCCCTCCCCCCTCTCCTATTCACATAGTATTTTTTCATCACTAAGAGGCTTAGCAGGAAAACACTAATCCCTTATGGAAATGTTGGAAGAGACCTACAGTGGTCTTCTAGTCCAACTGCCTGACCACCTCAGGG